TCTACGAAATGAACTTCGAGATTCAAAAGAACGACAACGCCTGCCTCGGAAATACCTCTGGAAATCAAGATGATTTATGGCATGAACGACTAGGGCATGTCAGTTATGGAATTCTGAATCAGATGATGAAATCAAATTGTGTGACAGGAATAAACCTACCATCTACGAACAATTCTACGGACATATATTATGCGAAGCCTGTATCAATGGTAAACAAACTCGGAGTCCATTTCGTGACAGAAATTTGCCAAGATCGAGTCGACCTCTAGAAATTGTATACAGCGATGTATGCGGTCCACTTACTACAAGTACTTGGAATAATAAAAAGTACTTTGTGGTTTTCATTGATGATTTCACGCACATGACTGTCACCTACCTACTTTTCTCTAAGGATGAAGTTCATGGATTCTTTCAAGAATACGAAAGCATGGTAACCGCTCATTTTGGTTCAAAAATATCTCGGCTGGTATGTGACAACGGTGGGGAGTATGTGTCAACAGCATTCAGGAAACATTGCAGGGAGAATGGAATTCAACTGGAATATACAGTAGCATACACTCCGGAACAGAATGGCGTTAGCGAACGTATGAATCGGACTTTGATGGAAAAGGCTAGAGCAATGATCTTCGCATCTGGCTTATCAAAGGAAATGTGGGGAGAGGCTATTCTTACCGCCACATACCTGACAAATAGATTAATCTGTAGGACCACTCAGAAGAGGGAGACACCTTACGAAATGTGGTACCATAAAAAACCTGATATGTCACATCTGAGAATTTTTGGTAGTGTAGCACATTGCCATAAACCAAATCAACTTAGGAAGAAGTTAGATTCAAAATCGGAAAGAGGAATACTAGTTGGTTATGGCGTACATGGTTATAGAATCTGGAACACTAGAAGAAGAACCATTACTTTGAAAAGAGACATTGTCTTTGATGAAAGAATGAAAGGAACGGAGGAAACTCTACACAATAAACCGTCAAAAACTCAATACTGCTCCTGGAATGAAAATAAATTGGAAGAAATATCTGAAACAGGCAGAACAAACAGATTAGAACTGGAGGAAAATATATCAGAAGGTGGGAAAGTTGAAGAAAATAGCGAAAACGAGAACGATGCAATAATAATGGATAACGTGGATAACAACGATACCATAGAATCGACGTCCAAAAACGTGAATCAAGATGATCTAAATCTCAGACGTAGTGCAAGACAACGCAAAGAACCAAAGTGGAAGGATGACTTTGACTTCAGTTGTTTAGCACTTAGCGCTGAAAATTTTGTTGAAGATGTGCCACAACAGATAAAGGATTTAGAGCAGAGAGAAGACAAAAAGAAATGGCAGGAGGCGATGGAAGAGGAAATAAGATCATTAGGAAATAACAAAACATGGAAATTATGTAGAGCACCAGAAAATAAGACACTTGTAGGAAGTAAATGGACATTCAAAATCAAGAGAGACGATGCTGGCAATATCAAAAAATACAAAGCACGACTCGTTGCTAAGGGATACTCTCAAAAGGAACATTTTGACTATCATGAGACGTATGCTCCTGTTGCAAAATTGGTAACCATTAGAGTGGTGATGACCATTGCTAATCACTATGATTTTGAAATGCATCAAATGGACATAAAAACAGCATTCCTGAATGGCATACTGAAAGAGGAAATCTATATGAAACCTCCAGAGGGCTTGGAAACGAATGGTCTGGTATGTAAATTGGAAAAATCAATTTATGGACTCAAACAAGCACCGAAATGTTGGAACGATCGTCTTAACACATTTCTACTCGGCGTTGGTTTTGTGAGATCTATTTCAGACTACTGCCTATTCACGAAATTTACTCAAAGAGTCAGAATTTATCTAGTGATCTATGTAGATGATCTACCTATTGTCTCTAACGAAATTCTTGAAATTGAATTGTTGAAAAAGAAACTATCAGAACAATTCGAAATGACAGATGAAGGAGAGGTGAAATACTACCTTGGAATGAAAATAGCAAGAGTACGTGAAAAGGAAGAGTTGAGAATTAGTCAAACTCATTACTTGAGACAAGTATTGAAACGCTTCAATATGGATGACTGTAAGCCCGTTAGCACACCCATGGAGACTAATCTAGTTCTAGAAACTGGGGAGCACAAAGATCAAGAAGAGGCCAGAGATCTTCCATACAGGGAACTTGTTGGTTGCATTATGTATCCCATGTTATGCTATCGACCAGATCTGAGTATAGCTATCAGTTTCTTCAGTAGATTTCAAAACTGTTATACAAAAACACACTGGAACCATCTCAAGAGGCTACTAAGATATATTAAAGGAACTATAGATTTCGAGCTGTGTTTTGAATCAGGAAATTCCACAGAAGCCATAATTGGATTTGCAGACTCCGACTGGGCAGGTGATTCAAAGAATAGGAAATCTATATCTGGGTTCCTATTCAAAGTATTCGGGAATACCATTTCTTGGACAACCCGAAAACAAAATTCTGTGGCTCTATCGTCAACTGAGGCGGAGTATATATCGGTCAGCACTGCTACATGCGAATTACTATGGATCCAAAATATTCTGCAAGATTTGGATATTGTCTTTCGGAAGCCAGTAGTCATCTTCGAGGATAATCAGGGCTGTATTAAAATGACTAAAAACTCACATAACATGAAGAGAACTAAACACATCCATATAAAGTATCATTTTATTAGAGAGAATGTGGAAAATGGTTCACTATCATTGCAATATACAGTGCTAGTCAAAAGTCCTCTCCCCCCCTCGTATCTTTTGAACGGGTATACTTATAATAATGGCCTTGTGACGTCATTTATGACTATTGCGTCACCTGTTATGACCAGTTGAGAAGCCTACATCCGTTTATTTCCACCCTCCAAATTTCATTATTATAAGTATACCCGTTCAAAAGATACGAGGGGGGGAGGGGACTTTTGACTAGCACTGTATACCGACTGACCAACAAGAAGCTGAATACCTTACCTACCTTACTAAGGCTCTATCCAAGAAAAAATTTGAATACTTCAGAACAAAAATAGGACTTGGACCTTCCAGGATTCTTCAATTGAGGGGGGGTGTTGAAATACAATGATTGGATTGCAATTAAAGGAATTTGTTTGATACTATTATTTATCACCCACTGTAGATTGAGTTTGATAATCAATGTCAATAAAAATATTGAAACTGTGAACGGAAGTCATTCTCATAATTCTTCATTAGTTTTGAGCTTGTATCGATAATTTATTCATTAGAACCACTACAAATAACAAGAATACTGTCCCTATTTGGCGGGACCCTGTATATTATTTTTCCCGGAATCATCATTTCATGGCCAACTACGATGACTCAGACAAAGAATGAATTTTTTCAAACTAATAATTGATACCTATACATAGCTTTTTAACACAAATTCTATTTTATAATTTTGTGATGGGCTTGTGGCTATTTTTTGAAAATTTGGACCACTCAGAAGGATTCTCGGAAGGATTAATGGTTTCCACAATTTTTCAAGTTTATTTTGAGCATGAAATGGAGAAACGATCCAAATAAGGCATTTTTACAATAAAAACTACTTAAAAACAAAATTGTATGTTGGTATGTAAACACTTCATAATGGTTATATACAGTATGTTAACCACAGCATCTTAAATATAAAAAAAAAACATGTAATTACTTTACTCTGTCTCTATGCAGGGGTAAAATAAAACAACTGATTTACTGAGAGTAGACACAACCTAAATCAAGATTATATGTCCAGTTCAAACAATCACCTATATCTTATTACTATTCATTATTTTTATTCAAACTAGACATGAATTACTTTGGAATAAAAAACAACATTTTTAGTATTCCTTATGATAACCAATCATGTTATGATATTTTATTATTACCAGAGAAAGAACTTCATCTAAAGTATTTGATGTATTGGCAATTTCAAGTACAGAGTCAGTACCAACCTACTCAGCAAACTCTTGAACTGATTCTAATCATATGGTCAACTCTTGAACGGTTTTCAGTTGGTCAGTAGGTACTCTCCTTGGTACTCTCATATTGACTTGAATAATCTGATCCTTCTATGATACACATATCCCCTGCTTCAGTAAGTCTGGGAATGTCTTTTCAATATACTGGGTGTTTTCAAATTGGAGAGATGAATAAAATGGGGTGTTGTATGAGTCATAAAGACACAATAGAAATAATTGTCTTTATAAATTTCTTTGAAAAATGTAGACTCTTTAACTATAACCATACCATATTTTTCAAATAACATTGAAAAAGTTCTTGATATTATATATTTCCATCACTTCTGACATCCCAGCAGAGTGGAGTTTGTCTATTAACTTTTCATCAGTGATTTACAACAATTTCTGCTAACTTTTTGATTTGAGGAAATAATTTTTCTCTGCAAATATGTATGTACTTACAAGTTATGGGAAATAAAAGGTTTATTAATTGCTTCAATGTTGTGAATACTATAATTACAATAAGCAGCACAATCATGGGAAATATTTCAAGGGCCACTATGACATTGAAATAATTCATAGAAACACTGTACTGTCATTTTGTTTATGTTTTGGTCATCCATTACCCACTTCATTTATCACTTCAATTTTGGAAACACCCTATATCATAGCTTCATCTTGGGCTTTATCAATGCCTGATCTACAAAGAGAGGCCTTGTCCAAGATTTCAACTGAAACTTTTGAAATTTTCCATAAATTCTTCCTTTACAACAAGTAATCTTTTGCTATCATGAGAGTTCAGGGTGAGTACTTTGATTTCTCTCTCATGTGCCTGATTTGGGTATCCCAAAGAATATGTATGTTACATTACCAAACTTGAAATCCCACTGTTTTAGAATTATCCACATGTCAATTGCAACTTGAGAGATGTATAGTATAAACACAATCACCAAAGACAATATACAGTACAGTCCATTCAATTACATCCAGTGAATTTTATGTGATTACCTCCTACCAATGACTGACCAACCTACATTTTCCTTTTTTTTCTTTTTCTCAACAATTGCCTCCAAATGCTTGCGTTGTTTCTTGGATAATATCTTTGTAACCTTTGATTTATCATTCTTGACTTTAGTCTTACGCTTCACAGAAGGCAGAACCAACTCATTTGAGGTATCATAGTGTCCTGCAGTTTGCAAATTGACTTCGATCTGAAAATATACTGGTAAGTTTCCTCAAATATATACAATAATGAATTATATTCACCTTTTGAGTAAGAGAGTTGTCTATTACAGTATTTACAACCTGTCTTGCCTTCCAATTATAACGTTGTTTACTCATTATTATAACTGTAATTTAATAATGGAGATTACTACCTTAGGAATTCCAAATCTACAAGAATAAAATGAACCACCGTGACTGTATCATAGGCATTCATGTTCTTTTTCTGTGTTCACATTCACTGATCATCAAGTTCGAGCAAGTTTCTTTTAGGTTACAAATATAGGGTTATGTTTATATTTTCATTTTTTAGACACGACCAGTGTGAAGTTGGTATTTCGAGCTGGCTGCTGAATTCGAATGTTCCAGTGGCGTCGATACATGTTTTTGAAATATTCATTATTGATAATGATTTTCGTTTCCTTGAATAAAAAGTCATCACTCATCTAAATCTGTATTTTGCCACGTAATAATGAAATACGGAGATTATCACGAGAGTAGTTCTTTTCACTCCTCTCAAAGGTTTATATATTTCTATAGGTGTTCTTGAGTACTTCGTGTATAGTCTATCCAAAGTCAGTTATTGTAGGGCCTCGAGCAAAGAATGTCCGCCACGTGCATGGACTTCAAACGAGCCGACACCACGCGGTGTATGTTTTTTGCAGGAACTGCTCAAATTGGCTTCGGAATAAGAAATCGGAATAAGGACTGGTGAAGTTTTTTTCTTATTAGGGGTATATACCATCAGTGTCATTCATAATGTCGGCATCATTATAAAATATAGGGAAAACTTTTAATAATCATTTATTTCGAAATTTGACTGGGCGATGAGTTTTGCTTTTAAAAATATGAATAATGGACTAGGAAGAAATGAAGTTGTTTCTATTCCAAATTTACATATGTGTTTCAAATTTGAACGTTCTATAACAACTTTTAGTTTTCAAAATGTTATCAATTTCTACGAAATGTCTGTTATTAGGGGCGTCATCTCAGTGACCAGGACGGGTCAAGATAGTCAGGAAAACATTTTGTAATGCAGAAAATAAGCCGCAGGCAAATTTTTTGCTGTTCGAGGTCAAATATGACTTCAAATTGAAAATTAGATTTCTTTCAGAGAGTGACTACAACTTCATTTCAGTGCTGTAAAATTGAAAATTAATTCTTCCAGACTGACAACAAAATCCATATCATATTATAATATTTTTTTCTACAAACGTCAAAAAATGACAAGGTTCGCGCATTGTTAACAAATTGCGAAGTGACACTTCTTTTCAGTTTCCTACGTTACCATATGATACCATGCACAAAACAATGCGCGAAGTAAAACAGTGCTGCTCTAAGATACAAAAATAACTAATAAATTATTCAGTTGTATTTGTTCTCAGCTTGTTACAATTGATATAAAATGATATGAAAATAATAACAATAAGGGCCGGAAGAAGATAGGTACTATTTGTAGGTTACCCGAGAATGTGGATGTTCCCGAAATTTTTGGGAGTGAGGGATACCTACTAACTCATTTCTTTAATTTGGCAAAATAATAAGGAGTTTCCCAGATTCATTTCCATTTTTCCATCGTATCCGAATCACCAACTATCACTCATAACAGGAAATAAAGTTAATCATCAGTCTATTGCAATCTTTACATTTTTCTTATTTCGGTATATTTCATATATGGTACCTGGCTACTATACTGAATGATGTATATTATGTGGTTACAGGAATAATCCACGTGCATGGAAGTATTATAAAAAAAAATAACACCGACAAAACTATTTCAATCTATTAACTTTGTCGTGCTACTAACTTATTTCAATCACTAATTATCGACAAAAATATGATTTTCTTCAGAAAATACTAATCCTTGCTTAAAATTTTTGTTATGCAAATGAGTTGAAGTATCGTTAATCATGCAGGAGCGACATGCATTCATTTAAATTGAATTTTTAAGTTCTAAAATGATACCAAAGTTATCTATCAAAATATCATCAAACTATTTTACTTATCTTACCAAAGTTAAGAACAGTTTCGACAGTCGAATTTACAATCAGAATAAATAAAAAAATATCAGTTGCAATAGAACGTTCAAATTCGAGACACATGTGTAAAATTGGAATAGAAACAACTTTTTGCAGTAAACTATTTTTCGAAAGTCCAACAAATAAGTCATCGATTGATTTGACAAAAATATAACTTTCGACAAGTAGCGACTCCGACCGAGTATGCCATTTTTCATATTTTGTAAGCAAAACTTAAAGTCTAAGTCGAACGTCAAAATAAATTATAATTAAAAGGGTCCCAACTTTGCGAATGACACTGTATAGATCGCGTTAACTTAACTCATGAAGATATCCCCTGTATAAATATAGCTATTATATCTTGTTAGAGGAATGGCTTTTTTGTGTTCTGATGTAGACAATGGGGCAATTATTATAGGATCATGAGGAAACAATTGATAAGCCAAATAAAATGTTATTTCTTTTTCAAGTATTTTATTTTACACTCGCCACATCTTTCTTTACTTCAATCATATGTCTTCTGGCCTTTTTGAAAGCTTTCAGGACTTGGTTTACACTCCTTATCAAGCTGGAAGCATTCAGTTTTTCATAAATGTGTGCATCCTTACTATCACCTTCCTTGAATTCATGAAGGAAAGCCTGGGACTGATGCAAAATGTTCATTCTGACATCGATCTGACCGGTGCCGATTGTGTTCACACCATATTTGTTGAAGATATTACTCTGAAAAAAAAAAAAAAATAGAGTACACGGAGTAATTCCAGAAAATCTTTACAAAATACACATTTTCATTTTCATTATCTAGTAGGAAGAAATTTCAACAGCAATAATCAACAATGAGTTTTCGAGAGAAGAAGTTCTCATGCATTATGATCACAATAATGGATCACGTGTGACGCGACACATTCAGGACCCGATTAGATCTCTGAAGGCGGCTACTCACATACCTGCCGCACGGGAAATCTAGGGTGCAGCGTGATTGGGGCAATCTATAGGAATCGTCTCAACACACGCGTATACCTACCGTTCAGTGCGGCAGTAAACGTACCGCAGAACAGACTATCACTGAGTCGTGAAGATGGTGCCAACACTTTCAAAAAATCAAAAGATCGGCATTGCCCTGGCTGTTTCCGCGATGCCACAGAAGAAAAAAAGAAAAAGGAAGTACTGGATGAAGAATCGGTTACAGAAACGAAAAGAATTGTGTCACATGAACGTTATGCATGTCTCTGTTGAAATAATGTTTGTTTTTTTATCCCACATGTGGGGCCGGTCTTTATAGACCTCTATAATCGCTCTTGGTTGTTATCGATTTCCATATTCGATTCAGCAAGCTAGACAATGAAAACGAACACTCCGCACGGCTTTCTGTTCAGAACTGAGTCGAAATTGGCCCAGTCACGCTAAACACGCAAGTTGTTGCAGGGCGGTTGGAGCCGATCTAGGAAGCTAGGAAGGTCTGGCGCGCCTGCCGGTGCCGCCCTGCAAAGGATGCGATAAGGAAATTGGCCCTGCTTGCCTACACACGTCACAATCTAGGAGGCAATTCAAGGTCAACCCCACTTTCACACCCTAGATTGACCCGGCGGCAGGTGTGTGAGTAGCCGCCTTGAGGGTGAGGTAGAGTAGAACTTCTTCTTTCGTTTCATTTGACATCTATTTTGAGATATATCATATCTTCTTCTGTCATGGGAAATTGCGGATGAAGTTTCATATTGGTGTACAAAACCTACAACTGTCCAAATCTAACTATTTATATCTTAGTGTTTGTTTTGTTAATGTTTCTGCCACTAACCTATAAACAAAACAACAAATGGAAGGACATATTGCTCTAGTCCTCTTTATAGTCACTGTATGGTATTAGTTAGATAAGACTTCCGAGTCATAACTCACTCGATGAATTACAGTAATTGCCTGCGGCTCGTACTGTAAACTTCATCTGCGTGAGTTATGAACTACATTACCGCTCGTTAAATAATATTCTATTTCGTATCCTCATGTATATCGACTTTCCATTTGTTGTTTGTATGTCAATAGCTTATATAAACCCCTCAGATAGTTGATGAAAAAAAATTACACCCTAGGTGAATATTCAATACCTAGTGGCAAGTAAAAACTTGTATACTATTTGGGACAAGGAAACAAGTTAATAGCCACAAGAATATTTGTGTTTTTGAAAATGTACACCTATACCACTATTAACCTCTGTTCCATTGAATTTTTGACCCGTTAGTGAACACAGCACTTGTCATTAGTGACTTATTCACTTCTCATTAGTGACTTATGCACTTATCATCAGTGACTTAATCACTTGTCATTAGTGACCTAATGACATGTCATTAGTGACTTATTTACTCGTCATCAGTGACTTATTCACTTATTCACATTCATTAGTAATTTATTTACCTGCCATTAGCTAGGTATTATAAAAAATTACACATTATGTTTTCTGAAAAATGATGACCTTGGTTAAAAGACAAAAACTTGTGCATTTAACGAATTTATTGTATAGCTATGCGATGAATCAAGAAATCACAAAAAGCTAAGGCTGACGACAAATATTGAGAGACCATATACCGGGTATATCAGGGTCATGGGCCGAGAAAAACTGTACATCGTCAGATGCACTCGCACACAAGTGAAATTGAAATTAACTTCCATACATGAATGTTGACAGTTAATCAATAGGTTTTCAATCTACTGTAGAAGTCCATGTTATCTCAAAGTGGAGTGAAGTAGTTAAAATATAATAAAAACTCTCCAAGTCGTCTCCACAATATTTAATTTCGAATTCAAGAAAGGGGGGACATGCTTCGGACCCTAACGGTATCCATCATCAGCCAGAAAGAAATTATTCTACAAAGAACAACGAAACAATAAGTAGGTATATCAAGTGAAGCAAATTGGTACTCACGCGTTGAAGAAAAGGCAAAAACATGGTTATGAACATGTTAAAACGGATAATAAAACAATGTTTAGAGTTCTAAATAATTTGAAATGAAGTAACAGTACCCCAGATATTTGCTCAACGACCCCGTTCTTTCTGGCTAATGATGGATATCGTTTGGGTCCGAAACATTTCCCCCCTTTCTTGAATTTGAAATTAAACGGTGCGGAGACGAGTTGGACAGTTTTTATTATATTTTGATAAATTTTTAGTTCCTACTTTTCAAGCCTCACCTGTTCCGTACCGCTTGGTAATCCTATCCATCTAACATCCTTGTAGTTATAGCTGTCTCCGATGAAAAATCGCCTCATTCTGCCAGATTGGCCTTTGGTATCGAATCGGAAGCAGGACAAAGTGTAGTTATGGCAGCCAGGACTTGATACCGGCAAGCTTGTGTACGTCAAGCCTTCGGTTCGGTAGCGGTCCCAGGAAGACTTCGATATTATTTCGAAGTAAATGTGGGGCGTTTCAGGGATGCCTTCAAAAACAAAATGAGCTAGACATTTATACCCGGTGGTCCATCCTAGACAAGCTGAGATAAGTCGAATACATGATTGATATACTTGTAATGGTTGATGTTATAAACCACATAAGCCTGTTTATTTTGAACACACAAAAAAATAATTTCTCTAACCAACAAAATCTGCTTTACTTCAAGAATATGGTTTGTTCATATATACTCAAATAAATATTTTCTTATTACGAGAAAATTATATTTGCAAAAAACTACTTTCAGAATGAAACAATATTTTCTTGAGTTGAGAAGATTAGGGTACCTACCTTTATATAAATAATTCCATTGTATGGAATGAATTGAATGTATTATATGCTTACTTGAAAAAAAAACAATTTATTTGTATAATACATCAGTAATTTATGACTAAGAAATAAAGCTACTTGGTGTTACAAATATATTGGTTGGAACCAAAGGTGTCGAATTATTTGAATGAAAAATATAATTGGTTCAGTTAAATGACACCCTACCTGAGACTTTATAGCTATCCAAGTGATCGCTGTCGGTGAGATGAACGAAGAAGAACATTTCGAATAATGTATATTGAATCAAGATTATGGTAATGTTTGATACAAGAATCAATATTTTTTCACAACAAAATTATGGAAAAATCGATTGAAGATATCAGTAGATGATAATTATTGAATCAAGATAATAGTGATATTTGATACAAGAATCAATTTGAGATTTTGAAAATTCTTAAAATGAAGTTTTTATTTCAAAAGAAAAAACAAGTAGATCAAAGTTGGTCGACCACACTTTATATATAATGTTGTATTCTTGAATGGAGCAATAAAGTCGAAGATCGATTTGAAAAGAACAACATTCTCTTTTAAAGAATATTTATTCCGCCTATAAAATGCGTATGGGGAAGATATGAGAAATTCATGTTTTTTTTTCAGAAGAATAAACTAAAATCCAATTGGGCAATCTGAACAGTACACAATGTAAACATGGTCCAATACAAGGGCAGATCCAGCCCTTCCGTGAGGGGTGAGTCACGGGGGCTTCAAAACCACAATATTTATAAAGGATGTTTCAAAAAAAGGGTACACTGAGAACTCTCAAATATATAGGTTAAATTTTCTAGTCCAAATATTATATATGAACTTGAACATCATTCAATTTCACACCAAGAAGTTAGGTACTCTTGGTAAAACTCGATACTGATGAGTAGCGTATTCGGAATATTTTGATTTGAAAATAATGGAAGAATATAACTGATGATGGTATGGATTATCATTTAAAACAATTACCTTTTTATTCAGTACCAAGAACAGTAACATTATTCCGATGCTAAAGTTATTGATCAAACAAAGAATCACAGGTAGAATATAAGATAAGTTTTACTCAAAACATAAAAAATTTAATCAGTGAGAGTAATCCATTTTTTTGCATCATTCTTTTGAAAGATCAGCTATAAGGTCATTCAAGTGATGTTCAATTCTGTCCTGCAACTCTTGACGTGAATTCACATTCACCTCTGTGCATTTAGACTCTCTTTCCTTTTAAGATAAGTGCAAACTGTGTAATCCATGTATCCAGTAAAATTCATTTTAATTTTATTCTTGTCGTGATTCATTTAACTATCAACTTCTTCCTTAGAATGATGTTATTATTTTTGGTTTTCACTAAGTCGGTAATAGTTTATCAGAATACTTACTTTATACATAACTTTATACCAGCAAGAAGTATACTAGCAATAAGAGTTACTCCGAACAAGCAGTGTATATAACTAGTGCACTCTAGGAGATTTCTCAGATATAAAAAAAAATCATGAGTTGTGTCATCTTTCAAAACATGTTCTTGCAAAATTTCATTATAATATTGCTAGTAGTTTCGACATAATCGCAAAAAATGTGTTTGAATATTGTTTTTTCCGACGCCGTTACGAAAAATGTGTAGTGAGCACACCCAATTTATTAGTGTGCATTTTTCTGCTTATCCTATCTTCAGGAAAAAATATATGGATCATAATAAAAAATTGTTCAACTTCATTGAATTGTTTGTTCGACCTAGAGAGATCTTCGTGTAGAAATGTAAAAACGATGAGATTTCAACATTATTCTTAGTCACACGACATATGTTTCGCTAACACAGTAGCTTCATCAGGTGAATACTAGTACAATGAAATAAACTAACCTTGGTTTGCCTAAACTCATAGAAACTTATAGAAACTCATAGAAACGTGTAGAATATAAGTTACAAGGATGAAACTTCGTATGCCAGTATCCGATGTGTTTCTTCATGGATGACTACTTCACCGGATTTATCAACACCACAGATTTTTATACAGGCTGAATTGAAAGAACAAGCATATTAAAATTTGCCATTCAATAACTGACACCCTATATGAGGTATTACGTTGAAATTTTGTATGAGGCATTTCAGGTATGCTTGAATCGTACAGGTCGAAAAAAAGCCAGTTTTGACCCATAAATCAAACATAAAAGTATAGGCCTAGATATTTTATTATGTCAGATTAACCCATTGATAATTCGGAACTTCATTTTTGGGACCTCATAATCAGGATGAACATCCACCTTCCTCATAATGTAGGACAGGATATACCTATATATGGAAACGCAAAAAATCACCGGTCCACCTGAGTTCAAATCACTCTGATGGGCTTACATTACCCAGGAGGTATGCAATATCCTGGAGCAGAAACATTTTATTATTTTCAGAGGTGCATAGAAAATTTAAGAGTAGCTTATTTCGGTATTGGCCACAGCATATGGTCTGTTCGGTGGTATGGGGTTCATCATGTCATTAAGATATAATATTCAGACTAGTGCGAATACTCAATGATTCAGATTACTTTTATGATATAGTTTCGTTTTGACAATTCAATGTGAACTATTGAGGACCATGCAGTGTTATCTGTATAATACCGAATGATTTGCTAGAATAACGGACTATTGCTATTGGTTGTGAAATAATCGGGTTAATTATTATAACAGAGGAGGCTATGACTCTTTGAACTAGTAGCGAGGGACCATAAAATGACGAAAGCTAGCTTGGTAGAGAAAAAACATAATGGTAGGTTCTATAGCTATAGTGATGGAAAAACATTAATAAAATATAGTTGTTCAAACAATAATGGAACATTATCTTCAGATGCGTCCCTTTGAGAGGGTGTAGCTTCCTTGGAGACTGTGAAAACTACGTTATCTGTTTTCACTGCCCTGATATCGATCAGTTGTGAAGGTTCAAATAAAGCTCAGTTAAAACAGAATTATATTAATAACTTGACATTACATCGCTAAATTATGTGTCATTATTTTTACTACTCCTGTCTAGGATACTGGGTGATCTTCAACATTCTCCCCCGCCGGAAATTCAACTTCTAATGGGTAAATAAGTTGTATCGGTCTTCTCAGGTAGACACCGTCTGCAGTCTTCAACTCACAAACGCGAATGCGACCATCTTTACCAGGAAAAACGTCAACGATCCTCACAAGCTTCCAAAGTAGTCTAGGTACATTTTGATCGTGTAATAAAACTACATCTCCGATTTTCACATTCTTCGACTTCATTCTTTGGCTGTGATGAAAAGATCGCAACTGTTGAAGATAATCAGTTTTCCAACGAGTCCATAATTTATTAATCCATTGCTCTCTCGATTTCCATAACTTCAAGATATCGCTTCTCTTGATACCCTCATTGGTGATATCAAAACTGAATCCCAATATACTGCTATCAATCAAGAAACGTGATGGAGTCAGAATTATCATATTATCAGGATCATCATCTAAATATGTTAATGGCCTGGAATTCACAATTGATTCCACTTCTACTAAAACTGTAGATAGTTCGTCAAAATTCAGGGAAGCTTTTCCAATAACAAATTTCAACGCATTTTTTATAGTTCTGATGAGTCTTTCCCACCAGCCACCCCACCAGGAGGCTCGTTCAACGATAAAATGCCAATCTATTCTCATATTCCTAGCGAAATTCTGAACTTCTTGATTTTGTAAGATTCTGCAAAGTTCTTGTAATTCTAAACAGACTCTTTTGAATGTTTTTGCATTGTCTGAATATATGGTGTTTGGAACGCCTCTTCTTCCGATGAATCTTCTCAGGCCTCTTATGCAACTCTCCGTCGTGAGATTTGGTACAAGCTCTAAATGAACTGCACGTATAACTGCACAAGTGAAAAGCAAAAGATATACTTTCGTCTTCTTCCGTTTGATGTAAAATGGTCCAGCAAAATCCACCCCCGTAATTTTAAAGGGATGAGCAGCAGTTATTCTGTTTTTTGGTAAAGGTGCGAAAGGTTCGTTACAAGGTTTGCCTTTCAATTTTCTACATGAAACACATTTCCCAATGATTGATTTAATTCGCTGTCTACCTTGAACTATCCAATATCTATTCCTTGTATGTACTAAAGTTGCATTTATTCCACCATGAGCAGTGCACATATGAGAATTCCATATAATCTTCTCAGTGAGTAACGACTTCTTCGGAAGAATAATAGGATGTTTAATCTCAAAGGTTAAATTTGCTTCTTGTAGTCTCCCTCCTAATCTAAGTAAAGAATCCGAGTCCAAAAATGGGTTCAACGTCAAAATACTCGATTTCGAATCCAATGATTTCCCTCTGCATAATGCTCTAATTTCTGCTTCAAATTCAATTTTTTGTGTTATCCGGATCCAATATTTTTCAGACTCATTTATTTCGGGAACAGTTAAAACTCCGGTCAGTTTATCTCCAGGATGTTTTACATTATGAGTGAATCTTATAATATATGCTGTGATATTAAGAATTTTCTCTAAATTACTGAATCGTTCTAATGGAAATATAGGTATGATTTCAGGAACATTTTCTTCTACATTCATCAGAAAAACTGATACTTTTTCTGGACAAATCTGAATATCATCATCTGGCCAGGACGCTGTATCTTCATTCAACCATGGTGGTCCATGCATCCACAATTCTGATTGAAGTAGTTCTTCTGCTTTGATTCCTCTTGTTATTAAATCTGCTGGATTTTCTGGTCCAGGGCAATATCGCCAACTACCTTTTGTTATATTTAGTATTTCCGTTACTCGATTCGAAACATACGGCTGCCACTTTTTACGACTATTGCCTTTTATCCAGTGAAATGCAATTCTTGAATCGGACCATAAAAATGCATTACTCATTACTATGTCTTAATTTTGGATTATGTAATTCTGCAATCTGCTTGCACATAATGCAGCAGTCAATTCTAATTTAGGTATCGTTAGTGATTTATTTCCATGTTCATTTATAGGAGCTACTCTATTTTTTGCAATCAAAATTTCACAAATTCTTCCATCGGTCAATGAATTTGTAAGTATATAGGCTACAGCTCCATAAGCAAGTGGGCTAGCGTCTGCGAAAATGTGTAGATCATATGTATTTTGTGAATATCTGCTGACACTTCGAGGAATCACAAGATCGGTTAAAATGGGAATTTCAGAACACCATTGTAGCCATATGTTCAGAATCCCTTCAGGTAAAGCTTCATCCCATTTCAGTTTCAATTTCCAAATTTCTTGCATTAATATTTTGGCTCTTATTACAAACGGTCCCAGTATACCTAATGGGTCGAATATCCTAGCTACAGTTTGAAGAGCTATGCGTTTCGTTATATTATGTCGGTTTCCTTGGTCTTCCATAACAGTACTGAGATCGACTCCTAGCTCATCAGTATGAATATACCATATTAAACCAAGGACCTTCTTTTTTGTAACTTCTGTATCTACATCATTACCAAAAATATTCTTCAAAGGAATGCTATTAGTACACCACTTCCGAAGATTCATATTAGCAGAAAATAAAATTGATTTCGAGTTAGAATATATTTCTTTACCTTCATCTATCGAATTCAGAGAAATAATCAGGTCATCTACATAAAAAGATTTCTTGAGTATATTACACGTATGATTCATTTCCTCGGGCTGTTCTGATAGATGTTTCTTAAGTGTAGCAGCTAATAGAAAAGGACTACTTGTTACACCAAAAGTTACACGTTTCATCCTGTATTTCCTGAGTGGTGGTAAATTCGTTATTGACGTTATTGGGTTTTCATACCATAAAAAACTGTGATAATTCCGTACACTTTCATCCAAACTGATCTGTAGAAAAGCCTTTTCAATGTCAGCTATCATTCCGATAAATCCAATCCGAAAATTAAGAATTATCCGTAATAAGTGAGGAACTAAATTTTCACCAGGCGATAATAAATCATTGAATGACGGAAATCCAGGTGCGTGTGCAGAACAGTCGAACACTACACGTATTTTCGTTGTTGCCTTGTCATCTCGATAAACTGGTTTGTGAGGCATGTAATAAGTATTCACTTCATCTGCTAATTCTGGTGCTATCTCAGCACAATCATTCTTGAAATATTCACGCACAGCATTATCATATTCAATGAGCTTTGAATTTTTTATCAATCGAGACGTTAAATTTTTTACACGAGCTAAAGCACCTTTATAATTTGAATCAAGTCTTGGATCTTCAATTTTCCAGGGTAGAGTTACTTCATATCGCCCGTTTTTGAAACATATTTCATTGTTTATGAAGTCTACTGTAGAATTACTACATGAATCATCTTTAGTAATACCTAACATTTCCAGACTCCAAAAATTTTTCAAATCTCCATCGTCATTTGCGTTTTCAATTGTTTGCAGAGCAAGAGTAGACACCAAATTTGTATTTACTCCGAAACAATAAAAATCGCTTGATCCGTGTAAAGTCCAACCAAACTTTGTATCTAGTGCTGTCAAATTTTCAGATAGTCTTTTTTGTTCACCAGTTACTATCTTCCAGTAATTATCAGCACCGATTAATAGATTGATACCATTTTTCTCGAGCCCACCATTAGCACTAGTATCTGCTAAATGGAAATTCATAGAAAACTCTTTTATTAATGGGTCTTTAACTGATGGAGGATTGAGAGAATCAAAACATATTTCTGGAACTTCAATAGCGTTAATTTGAATCATTTCATTATTGAACTGCCCAATCAATTTCAATGAAACTCTGTTACAGAGTCTAGCAGGCGATTGGCTGCTACTACCAAATGGAATGACAGAAATATTATGGGTTCCAATGACTGGTAATCCTATTCGTCTAGAAATACATTCTTTTATAAAAGTTAATTGGCTGCCTCCATCGAGTACCATGCGAATCAATGTTTTCTCTGATGAATTTCCTGATTTAATGAAAACACAAGCAGTTTGTAAATAAACATTATCAATCCGACTTTCAGTAATTAGAGAAGTGGCCTGTTCTTGTTCAATGACATTCACAACCCCTGATACATTGCTTTGAGCCTCCCTTCCTGGCCTCGAATAATTCGGATCACATAAAGAAGTTACGTGTCTTCCACTACATTTTTCACATTTAATAAATCGGGACTTACAAAATTTAGAGCTATGATTTGGTTTCGTACACCGAAAACATCTTTTACTTTCTTTTAAAATATCTTTTTTCTCTGTCAGTGTCAGCGATCCGTTACAATTCATCGTATTATGAGTTGCTGATTTACAAAACAAGCAACAATCTTTGACATTCGTTATAAGTCCTGCTGCTGTAGATACATCTCGTTTAGGATTAGTGTAGAACTGTTTATTTCCGTGAAATCGTTTTTCTTTAACTACTTCTGATCCTGATGAACTCTGCGCCTGCTCTACTGCCTCAACTTCAACTTTTATGAAATTCAGCAAAGTTTTTATTTGTTTTTCATAATCATAACATGGATTATTAGTAGATATGCCTTCTTGAATTTTTTGTTTGTTAAATTCAACTCGCAAAGTATATGGCAAATTTTTCATTATCACAGACTTTACCATCAAACCATATTGATTGGCCGAAATACCCAATGAAACGAATGAACGAGTAATTGTTGACGTTAAATTGTACAATTTTCTCAACGCTGCTGCATCATTCTTATACTTGATAGGAGGTAAAGACATTATCTGCTGAACATAGTTGTCTATGATTCTTTCATTATTACCATATTCATTTTTCAACATTTCGATTGCATCTGCATAACAAGACATACTAGATGATAACCCACTGATTGTAACAGCTGCCTTTCCAGATAACAGTGATTTCAAATAATTGAATTTAGCGTTTTCATCTAAGTCGACGTTTTCATGAATTACTGTTCGATATTGTTCCCAAAAAGCAGGCCACAAAGTTATATCTCCGTTGAACTTCAATAAATCTAGTTTAGGTAATCTCACCGATTTAGCTTGATGAACATTTCTTGTGGATGTCAATACTTCACCTCCTTCATTCAGTTGCGATTCTGGGAATGGACATCCGGTATTCACTTGGGATTTCTGACTAACTACCTGCTCCATTTTTGCAATAATTGTAACGGCAGCATCATCATACTCGACTATCTTCTCGCATTCTTCTTCGATCTGGTCATCCTCAAAAGTAGGTAATAATCTTCCGTTCAAAATATACAAATTTTCCTTTGACGCTTTCACTCTTGAAATCAAAATGTTCAGTTCTTTCTGATCTATGGTACTTGCGTTTATTAATTCGTTTGCCATATTTATCAGCTTTGATAATTGGGTCCGGTATGTATTTCTGAGAGCCAAGTCCATTCTTCTGCACGTTCGTTAGATATTCAAACCTTCCCTGGTTTCGGCACCAAAATGTGAAAACTACGTTATCTGTTTTCACTGCCCTGATATCGATCAGTTGTGAAGGTTCAAATAAAGCTCAGTTAAAACAGAATTATATTAATAACTTGACATTACATCGCTAAATTATGTGTCATTATTTTTACTACTCCTGTCTAGGATACTGGGTGATCTTCAACAGAGACCATGCATAAATATGGCGACCTTCGACCTATATGTTCATTTGAAGCTTCCTTACCTAATTTTGGCAGTAGAAGCCACTGGCACAATATTTCACACTATTTCCGTGATACACTAACTAGGAAAATACGTATAAAAGTTCAGAGCCGTCGTTACACAATTACATATAATAAATTGTGATAATTATACTCACTTTTTTCCTGTAAGTTCTGGATGTCATACTCCAGGATGATCTCGAAATCATGTCCGAAATGTGAAAGTCCATCTTGGTTGTAGCCGATGCAGGTTTGTGTTACACCATGAAGCGTGTTGGGGTCCTCACAAGACCAATGACTCGGAAGATCTACACGATACTGTACATATACATCGGAATATTCGAACCCCCTTCCAGAAAGAATTTCGAAAAATATGTATACGTTAAGTTTGTTTTTCGGTGGTAGGAAAAATTTATCAGAGATGATTTCTCTAGTAAGAGAAAGTTTGCAATCATGAATCTGAAATAAAAAAATATGCTTTTAGACAGTATATTGCATTTCGTTGATCCCGTGAGCCCTTATTATAACTCGATTTGAAAATAAATAGTAGAAGGTGCGATATAGTGGACCCTATTAATTACTTGGACAAAAATTGATTTTGCTGATTTGCGGAGTTTCCTTTGGACTTACCAATGATGTATTCTGAATGCACATAATGATTAACATTTTCTATAGATATATTTTTCGTCGACACTTGCGAAAAATTCCCTTTGCCATAATGTAGGGGCAAAGTGGAAATAAAAAAGTTCTGGGAACATCTACATCAATAAACTGCTGATCATTTGGATCTTTATCATGTGTGACTCTAGTGAAATGTATGTGCTTGGTATCTCATAACCTAGTGATCATAATAGGTCTGTTTGTTTGTGTTGCTGTACTTGCTAGAGTTGATTTTGTTCCTAGCATGTTAGTTCATGGCATAATGTGAACAGAGCACAAAGTCATAGAAAAAAATCAAGCTAGCAGGTAGAGAAAACACAAACTGACAGGCCTAATAATTGGAGTGGCTCTACCTCTCCAGAAGCCAGAAGCATAACTATCATGTTTTTTATACTAGCTCCTATATGGAGGAAGAATTCTAATTATCAAGAAATACCACTGATAACTGGATGAATGATATAAAATTCCAGGAGTAGAGTCCGACCACGATAACTTTGGGACAGCACTTGGTCGCGTATGCATTGAATATGCATATGCGTTGCGTCACATGCTGTCCCAAAGTTAACGTGGTCGGACTCTACCTATACCTCGTAACTAATAATCTATTCTAAAGGAATGCTACCCAAATAAGATGTAGATACCAGCCGGTAAGCAGTCACTCTGAGAAGTTTCATCATGGAAGAAGATAGAGGTTAAGAAGATATCATTGTGTCATTCATACATTTTTTTCTTGAAATCTGGAATGTGTCCGTTTGATATCATATGATGAGAGGGTTACATTGGAGAATATAGAGTAACTAGAACTTTGAGATCCATTAGGCCTCAAATCCCCTACCTCTCCCCTACCTCGATAGTATGTAACCAATGTTAATAATTGGCCAATACAGTCCCATCATCATTAATGTATGTGCTGGGCCTGCTATGTGAAACTCAATGTGTCGATTATGTTGTACTGGTTTTTTGTCGGGAAACTGAATATGATTGCTGGGTACCCAGCACTGGGACCAGCTGTACAGAGTCCCGCATATGGGACCATGTACTGGGCCGCTGATATCAGGTATGGGGAAAATGTATTAGGTCATTAATGCCCCATATCAAGATGTTTGCTGGGAAGACATAGGTGAACCGGTCAACATTTCTTACCGTTTTTGCGATCTCATTTTCTCTTATTTCTTCAGACTCTTCTATTCTCGGTGAACAATTTTCAATATAATAGTGGATATTTTTCCCGCCCTGTATCTTTTTGTGGTAACTCTGCGAATGCGTGAAATCAGGATAAACGGACAAAACTTTGGAAATTTTATCGAATTTCAATTCGCACAACAGTTGTTGGTTTTCCATCCATATATCCTCAATATAATCCCTAAAACAGAAAAAACACCATTACTGTAAAGTAGCTATTCCATTTTTTACTAGACAAGAAACACGTGCGGAGACCATTGAAATCAGGTATGATAAATATTGAACATTTCAGGATTGGCATGCTGATGCTGATCAATGATAACTGGATATACAAAGACAAAATAAGATCCGAAAATTCAGCAACTAGAATTACCGGTGGAATCGATCTGTTCCTTCAACCAGCCAATCCTGAACTTATTGCTTCAAGACGAAGATTTGTGAAAAAGATTACCTCAAGGCTGAGCTGCAAAAAAGAGTGGAATAGTGAATCCATGGGATATAGATCTCAATAAAGGAGCCATAAAGTGGTATAGCGATACAACTGACTTTGGAAAGACTATACACACGGACGGCTCAAAAATCGAAGATGGAAGTGGGATAAGAGTCTAAGGACCTCGGAAAGTCTTGGCGAATTTCCAAGCATCTTCCAGGCAGAAGCTCACACTATAGGATATTGTGTCCAGATCAAGGTCAATGTTGGCTAATTTTTTTCAACAGTTGGCGTTAGCTAAAGCGTGGGGTCTATGTCGGGTGTATGTGAACATGAAAAGTCGCCAATGATTGTTAGATATTTCCTTAAGACGAGGACCCGAGTGGTTGTGCTTGGGCAGGCTTTGGCGTTGCTAGCAACGGAACATGTGAAGTTATTATTGGTTTATGGCATTTAAGTAATTCGATTTGGATATAATAACATCACACGTTCCATCACTAGCATCGTCAAGGCCACCATAATCGACCAGGAGACAAACCCGATAATGAAAGGACACAATCTTGAGATTATAACGTTCGGTTCAGGAGAAGATAAATGCAGGTTCTGTAGAGAATACATACTAACGGAAGAGTGACAAACACCTAGGAGCGCATATAATAGAATAGAAGAAAAGGAGGAGGTTCCCTACCCAGAACTGCATCATAGTTATCCTAATATTCCGGGGTGAAACAGCTAGAATAGGACTAGAGAAATCGAATCGCACCATAGGTATATCGTTTCCACTTTCCACCCATGCCCCCCCCCCCCTCGGAAACCTCATGGATATGTAAAAATGTAGGTATTTTGAATAAATGAAAAAATTAGTGTATATGTCTTCATAGCTAGAAACTTCGAAAAACTTAAACAAAAAACAAGCTAACGATGTTGTTAGTATCACTCTTCTGACGCTTCAAAATTAAAGGGATGATATTCTAAATACTATCTGAGTATTTCGAATGAAGCCAAACAGAAATTGAAAGAACTGAATGTTGAATTTTCGATGCCGAGAATAACAGGGAGACTGGTTCATAGACCGAATCCTACGGTTTCCTCAGTGGATGACTATTACATAATGACTGTTTTCATCCCAGTATTATCCTTGATCTGAATGATATAGGCTATCAGAAAATAAATTGAATCTATACAACCTTCACCTTTGTGTGCCATCAATAACTAAAAACAAAACAGATGAGGAAATATATGAGGTATGAGAAATATACTTGAACAGTTTCCGACCATTGATGAATAATGGAATGTCCTTTCAGAAGATCGTTTCTGAAATGTATATATGTAAGAAAATGAGGGATACTAAGCAAAATATACCAAACAATGGTATAACCATGCCCTGAAGGAATGTAACAAACATTTGTTTCCTAACATAAACATTCGTCTGGAACCATTATATTGCCTGTCTGTAAGTGTTGCATCTTCTGAAAGAAGTGTTCCGACACCCAGAAGGCTGAAAGATTGGATAAGATCCAGAATGGTCCAAGACAGGTTAAATGGATTGGCATTGATGCATATTCATAGGGGCATCTGCAACAGTCTGAATGTTGATGATATCATCCAAAGATACGCTATGCAGAAGAATAGAAGACTGGAATTTGTTTTCTTTATTTTATATATTTTTATTTTTGTCTGTTTAATTTGTTTTGTTTTTTAAAAGAAATATTTTTATTCACTTTCGAACCCAAATTCTTCAAGAGAAATATTTTTTCATTTACTTTTTTTATCCAATATGATTTATTATAGAATTTTACATATATTGATGGAATAAAAGTTTGTACTTGTTTCTTTACACCAGTAATTTCGATACTTGAAAGGAAACTGAAGATTTCATGTTTACTATAATCAATTTTTTTAATCAAAAAGCATTTGTCTCAGAAGGTCACCATATAATTTCTCTTCGGCGCTAACCTTATTGAGCCGTGACTTTCTATGCCCCCCCCCCCCTCAAACATCGTCTGGATCCGCCCCTGTTTCCACCCCTTAATTTTATTAGGTTAGTTTAGTTATTGTATACTAGCAGACCTCGCAAACGTTGTTTTGGTATATACATTATTTCTATAATATATTTTTTCAGTTCAATATTCATCAAGACACTATTATTATTTTATTTTCTACTTCTTTCTAGTTTCGCTACCCATAAAAGCGTGTTTCTTTAGTTTTTCAAACTACCATTTATTTCAACTTCTTTTTAGTTCACTTGAATTTCCCAATGTTGACGAAAGAATCATAATATCCGACTCCTAAAACACCAGACAAAAATTTTGAATCGAATCGGAATATAATTACAAAACTCGTCCGCAATATTGGATCTACCTTCTTGAATTTCCAAATCCCGCCCTTTCCAAATTTTGACAAAAGAATCATAATCTCCCACTCCAAAAACTAAAATCGGATCCTAATTACAAAATCCGCCATTTTCGATCCGCGTTCTTGAATTTCTCAATTTTGATGAAGGAATCGTAATCCCCGATCACGAACACCCATAGGTACCAATTTTGAAAAGAATCGGATTATAATTACAAAACTCGTCCGCTATATTGATTCCGCCATCTGGAATTTCCGAATACCGCCCGAATTTTCAAATTCTGACGAAAGAATCATAATCTCCGACCCCGAAAACCCCAGATACCAATTTTGAATAGAATCGGACCATAATTACAAAACTCGTCCGATATATTTGATCCGCCATCTAACTTAATGGGATAAATCTAAATCCTACAACCTCTTTCAGCCAAATCGATCCAGTAGTTTCGGAGTCTATTCAATACATACAAACAAACAAACCTTTCCTCTTTATAATATTTAGTATAGATTATTGAACTACTGAAAAAGAGACAGCTTGTTATAGTCTTCACAAAATCACCTCAGACAATTTCATCAAAAAACTTCGCCGGCGGCACGCGGTCGGTTTGAACTTTTCAAGATACTGATCAAGCAGTCTCAAGTTATGACTCTGTCAAGACTATACAATAACTTACCCCAAATCTGCAAAAATAAACATGTTCTCAAAATTACTATATATAATTTTATTTCCAAGGCTCGAGAGAACAGATTCTTTGTAATCATATTCATTGTTAGTTCTAGTTTCAGTCTCATCATTTAAACGAACTTCTTCAACCAACTTTTCTAAATGGGATATTTGTTTTCTAAACCTCTGAAACAAATGAGTTGATATTTTAGATTAGAAAATAGGTTTGTACACAAATATCAATCCCTTATAAAGAGTGATCCGGTTTCCATGAATAATACTCAAAAAATCGATAAAAATTTTTATATTTCGAAATCTCTCAGACTTCTCAACAATCCATAAGAGTATAACTACATAACAAGGGATCACTTTCAACGTAAATGTGTACTGAGATATACATGCATAATAGATAAGTTTTATTGTATATAGCTGCATTGGATTGACTAGGGTCCTGAAGGGTTTTATCAATCGGTTTGTTTTCGTATCTTTGCCAAAAAAAAACAAGTTTTCGTAGAAAAGACAAGTAGTAGTAGTATTGTGGGGAGGCTGTAGCCAGGCAAGTAGGCCCCCATGGGCCCTTTTTGCCAACCCCTGCTCTCCACATATCTACACATCCCTCTTCTAGTTGTCCTTTTCGAACCTTCCTGTCCTTCTGATGAAGGTCAGGATGTCCGTCCACTCTAATTCGACCAAATCTTCCTGTTGTAGTTTATCTACTCCAAAGATTTCGAATCTCATCCTTCCATACGCCTCACACTCTCCGAGGAAGTGAAGTGATGTCTCCTCATCTTCTCCGCATTCACGGCAAGTGGGACTATCTTCCACACCTATGAGTGATAGGTGTCTGCGTAACCTGTTGTGCCCTGTCAGTATCCCTATAAGAAGGCGCAGGATTTGGCGATCCCTGCCCAGTAACCAAGCCGTCTTTGGCTTGCTTGGACCGGCCACCAGGTCTCTCGATTGCCTGCAGCCGCCTATACGCCTCCAATATACTTCTAGTGCCTCGTCCGCCCATTTGTTAAGGGCAGACGAAGTTTGGCTTCTTGTTATGCCCAGTGCAGGCTCCGGTCCCCAGAACGGTGTCTGTTCAGCTAGTTTCTCAAGAGCATCGCCACATTCCTGCACCAAAGCTGAGCTTGGTTTAGGATGGCAGACAGCCCTGAGAGCCGCCTGACTATCCGAGCAGATGTAAATCTTCTGCTCTGGTCCCTCTTTCACCTCTTATTGCCTCTCCGCTACTGCCAGAATGGCAAAGACCTCGGCCTGAAAAACTGTGGTATACTTTCCAAGAGCGTAGCTCTCCCTTATGCCTAATCCTTCTAGGTAAATTCCTGCACCTGAGTCCTGTTTGTCAGTTAGGCGCGATCCGTCCGTATAACATACTAGACTCCCCGGGCGGAATTCCACTCTGTTCTCTTCTCATTGTTCCCTGCTTGGAATAGTGAGGGTGAACCTTCTATTCCATCTCAGCCTTTTTTGGGCGTTCTTTACTCTTAGGATGGAGATAGGGATCTCCTGCTCCACCCATGTCACAATTTCCGCGTGACCGTAGAAAAGACAAAATGATCTATAAAATTTTTTGAAGGACTTTTTTTTTTTTTATCGATTGGAGCGCACGAAAGGGAATCCCTATAATGTTCAAAGAACATCGTGCGTTCCTAGGGAGGATAGGGACAGGAGGTAGGTATTGGATTTTTTTTTGAATTTTTGGAGATTATATGTTGTTGGGAATACTTCCACAGGCAATGAATTCCAGAGCCTAGCCGTTCTATGGATGAAGGAGTCTTGATAAAGTGCTGTTCGACATCTTTCGAGGTTGACGACGAAAGGATGTGCTGACTGGGCTTGTCTAGTTCGTCTGATTGGTATTGCTAGTGAAGGGATGATTGCAGAGATTTCCGAAGAACATTTCCCGTGGAAGTTTCGATAGAAAAGTGAAAGGTCGCCGACCTTTCTACGGTGTTCCAATGATGTCAAAGAGTGAGTGAGTGTGGCGTCACCCACCAGGCGAATGGCTCTTCTCTGGATGGAATCTAAGAGCATCAGCGTATGTTTTGGTGCTGAGCCCCATATGTGGGAACAGTATTCTAGAACAGGCCGTATCTGCGCTTTGTAGATCATGAGAAGCTGTTGAGGTGTAAAGTAGCTTTTCGCACGGAACAAGAATCCGAGTTTTTGTGAAGCAGCTTTTGCGATGGATCTGACATGATTATCCCATGAAAGAGTGTTGCTGATGGAAATACCGAGCATAGATATGGTGGGCTTGGTGGGGATGGTGGAGCCAGACATTACAATATCGGGCATACTGAGTTCCGCCTTTCTAGAGAAAATGCAGGCTTGAGTTTTGGTGGCGTTGAATTCAACTAGGTTGTTCGTTCCCCAGGCTGTGATTTCAGCAAGATCTTCATTGACAGCATTGACCTGCCTGCGCCGTGAGTTCTTAGTTTCCTGGGAAGAAATGGGAATTCTGGAAGAGAACGCAGTATGGAGGGTACTATCATCTGCAAAGCTGTGGATGGGGCAAGTTGTTACTCCCAACAGATCATTGATATGAAGCAGAAATAATGTTGGTGCCATAATTGATCCTTGTGGAACGCCGGAATTGATGCCAATGGTATCAGACGATACACCGTCCACCACCACGTGAAGCGATCTGCCTGAAAGAAAACTCGATAAGAGATGGCATAGCTGAGGTGGTAAGCCGTATGATGGTAGTTTGTGGAGGAGTCCTTCGTGCCAAACACGGTCGAATGCTTTCGATATGTCCAACGCGACAGCTAGAGATTCCCCGTGTTTTTCTATTGAAGATTGCCATAAATGGGTGACGTAGGCAAGTAGATCTCCAGTAGATCTTCGGTGGCGGTTGTCTATCATTGATGATTTCTGATCTCTCTAGATATTTGATAAGCTCAATATTGATGGCCTTTTTCCATCACTTTGGAGATTACTGATAACAGGGCAATGGGCCTGTAGTTGTTGGGCAGGTTCTTGTTCCCTTTTTTGGGGATTGGTTGGACTCTAGCTGTCTTCCAGCATGATGGAAAAATACCCGACCTGTACGAGATGGTAAACAACTTGCAGAGAATCGGTGTTAATTCTGGTGCACATTTTTTGAGGATAATGGGTGGAATTCCATCAGGACCGTTAGCCTTATTCGTTTTGAGACCAAGCAAAATTCGTCTGATAGTGCGTTGACGGAAGACGATTTCGGGCATTCGACTCTCAACGGGCGGAATGTCTGGCGGCAGTTTTCCTTGGGAATCTAAAGTAGAGTTTGCTGCGAATATCTCTGCAAAAATATTCGCTTTCTCCTGCGATGTTGTTGCTAATGTGCCGTCGGATTCGGACAGTGGTGGAAATGAACTATTAGTGAAATTTCTTCCGACAACTTTAGCAAGGGACCAAAACGAACGGGAGCCATTGGGGCAATCTATGAGTTTCGATCTTATCTTGGCATTGTATGTTTCTTTCGAAGCATCTATTGTTTGGCTGCAGTTATTCCTGGCATCAACGCATTCTGCTCTAGTCGCGAGGTTAGGGTTTTTGCGCCAGCGATGGTAGGCTGATTGTTTCAAGACAACAGTTCTAGAACAGTTTTTGTTGAACCAGGGTTTCGAAGGTGATGATCTTTTCGAAAAATGAGGTATGTATGTGTCCATTCCGAGCATGATGATCTCGGATATTTCCGCAGCACACTGTGAAGGGTCCTCAGAGTCAAAGCATACTCTATGCCAAGGAAACTCGGAGAAAAACATGCGGAGACCGTCCCAATCTCCTGAATTGTAATGCCATATAAGACGTGGGGGTGCCGGAGCAGTTGATGGAATGAAAAATGGGCAGGTTGTGGAGATGAGTGTGTGGTCAGAATTGCCAAGTGGAGCTCGTACATCTATGGTGTAGGGTGCTGAAATATTAGTGAGGAATAAGTCAAGTATGTTAGCTGAATGGTTATTGGCATCGGGAATTCGTGTGGGTTCTTTGATAAGCTGCTCCAAGCCGTAAGTGATGGCGAAAGCTTCGGCTTGTCGCCCAGCTTCATCCGTTCTGTTGGAGTGTACGAGCCAAGCAGTGTTGTGTACATTGAAATCGCCCATGATGATGATTTCTGCTGCTGGATGGTTCTGTTGGATTTGGTCAAGCTTCAGAGACAAGAATTCGAAGAGCTCTTCATAGGATGGATCATTTGGTGATAAGTAGAGACAACAAAGGTATTTGGTCTGTTTCTGGCTATCGAGTTTGAACCACATGACATCAAACTTATTTGGTTCCAAAGTTTTTTCTCGTTGACATGAGAGATTCGTTTTAGAGTAGAGGCAGAGGCCTCCCTTGAATCTGAAACGTGTGTGGAGTTCGTACCCAGGACAGAGCAGATAGGTCGTATTGGTGGATGAATTGACCTGTGTCTCAGTAAGAGCTAATATGTCTGGCTTTTCAATTTGAAGGTGTCGATGGACATCGTTGATGTTCTTACTTAGACCTCGGATGTTGCATAGGTCTATCTTGAGGACTTTTTGAGCCGATGGTGAACCCCCTCTAGCACCTCTCGCCCGGAAATCCGAATGGAGAGGTATTTTACTTCCGGATAATTTTACTTGAGGAGAACTCATCATCGCGTATTCTGTATAAAGAAGGCGGGAGGTTGGCGTGGAAGGAAAAGGAAATTGGGTTGGGTTGGGTTGGCCGGAACATCAACCAGCTACTGAAACACGGGTAAGTATACCCATTTCACAGTGCCTATGGTTGATGTGGTCACAGGCGATGGCGTTAACCATCTTCCACCTATTGGCGTCCTTTTAGTCGCCTTCTACGACAGGCAGGACTTACCGTGGGGTTATTCTAATCCGACCACCACACGGAATGATATTACCTTTGATAATACGTATGTGAGTAGGTATATATGAACACTCATGGATTGTGAGACGTTGAATGATGCTGATATACCTTTCGCAAAAGATTATAAGACGAAAATACTCGGGAAAATATCAATTATTACGTTGATCAATATTAGACGACGATGTACCTACTGCTTATACGCTTCATAATCTTCAAGAAATATTTCTTCAAATGTAGCGATCTTTTTTGTTGTCATAAACCCTTTACTTACATCCTGATCCTGAATGTACCCATCAATATCAGGATACGTATGGAAAATAGAATTTTCGTTAAAATCTTCGGCGTTTATCTTATCGTGATAAATTTTCTCCAAATCAGTAACACAGTTGTTTATCTCTGCATAAAATTGCCGTTCAATTCTGCTGAACTGTTTTTCTTGCCAAGAAAATTCTTGAATGTGCCATTCCTCTTGCTTTTTTATATTGGATGATTTATCTGGGTCCTCTACTCTGAGTTTTAACCTATTTACAGAAATCCATTTATTTTCATTTTAGTTTTCAGTTTGTTCTTCATTCTTTCTACGTGCAGTTTTAATAATAATGATGACTAAAACATAAACGGAAGTAAAAATAAAATTATTCTGCTTTCTGCGGTTCTAGGATTTTAACATTTATTATTTCAAAATAATTTGAAATCCAGGCTCGTACTGGACTCCTACCCAATCAGCACCAGAAGTCCGACTTACGTCTTTACGTTCAAAAACGTATAAAAGACGACTTGAAACCGTATACATTCATGTACGTCTTTATGACATGAAAATGTACATCTTAAAGACGTCCATTTTAGGTCCGATTCCCTTCATTCCTTCCTGTACGTTTAGAAGATTTCTTAAACACGTCAATTCGAAGAAAAAAAAATATTAAACATATTTTTTCGTCCGTCATATTGGAGCCGCCATCTTGAATTGGTCATTTTCGACAAAAGAATCATGCATAATCTCTGATCCAGAAAACCGCTAGAGGTCCCTACCAATTTTGGATCGAATCAGACTATAATCAGAAAACTATAGTCTGCCATATTGGAGTCGCTCTCTTGAATCTCGAATGGTAGTGTTCTCAAATTCTGTTTCGATCGTAACTATAATGACTGCATGTAAAGAATACAAATTGTGCTTTTTTTCTTATTAACACACAGAAGTTTCCAAAAAAAAAAACATTTTTGGGAAAATTCACTTCTTCTAGAAAATGGAAATAACTTTTTAAACATTTAATTCAGCTAATGATGGTAATTTATTGTTTTATTTTTGTTTTCTTATCAACTTTGTTAAAAAAGTACAACGGGTTCAAGTTTTTTTTCAAAAAAATCCAAATTTCCCAAAAATTATAGTTCATTGTTGGAAAATGGAAAATACCCCTTATTTTAATATCTACCTCCGATGCACTATATTTATATGCAATCAGTCCTTCTCACTCCGCAGGCCATAAAAGCCTATATTTTACGCCCTTAATTAATAAAATAACTATAACATTCAGTCATGATTTAGGAGCTAGGCAGGAAAATTTCAAAATCGATTTATTTTAATCAAAAACGGTGAAAGCTATTGAAAGTGAACAGGAATACGATGTTCAAGTGAAAATGTTGAGATTTACATATTTCCTGGTAATATCCTGGTTGATCTGCCAAACATTGCATCAACAAAAATTCGGGGAAAATGTGCCCCTAGTCCCTCCTATCTCACACGCTCATGGTCAAAATTTTGAAATATTCTCAAATAGGGCATAAAAAGTTAGGTAGGTTATACAATATGTACAAAATTTAGTACGTAATTTGGGGACACCCCCTGTATATCCTCAAATCTTCGCATATATTCTTCTTCTTTTTTGTAGTTCTTGGTTTTCTGACTCCTTACGGCTTCTTGCGGTATCAATTCAACCGTGATAATGATGGCGGCAATTTGAAAAAATATTGCCACTACAATGTTACAATCATTATTAGAAACACCTAACAAGTTGCATGTGGTACCTAGGGTTTTTTGCAATATTTCTAAGTACCTACCTTCTTACCTATCTACACTACCAAGGTACATACCTTATTTTAAAGTTGGAAATATTATCGGAACAACGGTAATATCCCGTGTACTTTGTTTCCATGTTGCAAGAACTATAATTATACATAAACAGACACAAATGTTATACATTTTTACTTTTCCATAGTTCTGACATCTAGATCAAAATGGCAATATGGTATCAGCCAATCACAACAATGAAGTTATAGGCCAATCGAGCGCACACCAGCGCTAGCGAATTCAGCGATGCGATTACCAGCGACCTACTGGTGTGAAGTTAGCTTACGAAGTTGGTTGCTATAATTTACAAAGATAGAGTCTAAGCGCTACTTGATGGAAGATATTCCGCTCCCCCTCCAAATTCACAGTTCCCGGTCCCGAATCGGGCATAACGTGAGACTTGACCTGTTTCTCTCCCCCTCTTGACTCCCATTATTGCATCCAAGTGGCGCTTGGACCATATCTCTCCATCATCTCAATCATTATCAGTGGCGTATCCGAATGTTATTTCGGGAATGGGTCAGTGAAAAATCATATTCGATTACTAGCTGCGGCAAACGTTGTTTTGCTATAGACAGTATTTCTAAAAGAAAAGTTTCCACTCACACGAGAACTTCTTTTCTCGAAGTAATCTTGACATTTCAATAAGAATTTTGTTGCCTGGTAATTAGATGGAAAAAATGCCTTGGAAATTATCACGAGTCCGTAGGACGAGTATTTTTTTCTGTGAGTTTTATGAGATCAATTTTCTAAATGCAACATAACTCGCATTATGAATGTTAAGTTTACTTCGACCCAAAAAATGCTTGAATGCAATGGGCGTGTACACCTTAGTACAACTTTTAACTCAAACCATGTTTATAATGATCCTTTCATACATAGATAATGATTGACGACATAATTCGATCGAAAAATCAACTGGAATGTTTTATTTTTGGACATAAATAATAGTACCTTATGAAAACGGACCCTCTTATGACGTAGAAACCTCATCTCGCCATATAGTTGAAAGAAGATACCAAACGCCCGACGGAGACTAAGGCAAAACTGATATACTAATTCTTTCAACTGTGATCTCGCACTAATTCACTCTGTCAGAAATCATGTGTCATTCTGTCATTCATCTCTGTCTGGAATAGTCTTGTTTCAGTATTAGGGTTTTAACGTCACATCATCGCCTCGTTTTCAGAGATCCGAAAAATCGGGGATTTCAATAATTTTTTATAATACGTAGGGAGCTCACAGCAAGAAACGGTTTGCGGTGGTGAGCTAGTTTGGGTGAGCTCTATCGAATTATGGAATAAAAATTTTGTGTGATATAAGCCCATTAGGTAAGACAATTTTGTGAATGCGTAAATCACTTTATTGTTGATGTATTTTTCAATTTCCCTACTCCAAATCGCGACATTTTCACAGATTATATACTTTTCTGACAACAATATTGAGAAAGATTGGCATGAACGCAATTAAAGATTCGTTCACAATTCTGCGGTTGTCATTGTTACGAAAGCTAGGTTCCGTTTCGTCGCTGGAAAACTTAGGGTGAAGTTTTCTTGCTTTCATAATGACAAAATCACAGCGGCTTATAGGATTTTCCATACATGAGTCAAATTGTCAGTTAAATATTCATCAGCACACCTTTATTATTGTATTTTCTACTTCCTTTTAGTTTAGCTATCTGTTATGGACTATACTTATGAACACTATATCCTTTGCACTATGCACTTTGTTCAAGAAAAAATATGTTTAGTCACGTACGTATTTGTCAATAAAAAAAGATAATAGAATAAAAAGTGAAAAACCTATAACCTAACTGATTTTTGCTGCAAAATTAGTGTTTTGCCAAAACATTTGGTCCTTCGAGCATTCGTACATAATATTTGGAATCAAGAACATTCAGTTTCGCCGAAATTGAAGCCGTTTGAGATTCAACAAAAATGCCACAGACCGAAGGGACTATCAGGAAAACGAGCAGATGTAATGCAGGAATACCGCCAGAAAGATACATGCAGTTTAAACGAAGAGAATAATTCGATAGCTTCTATGTCTGCAAAATCTATAAGTTCAATAACAAGCATCAAAATGAAGGAAATTGAATTGAAAAAGTTGAAAGCTATGAATAGAATATGGAAAGATTTTGAACAGAGAAAGCTAGAAAGGGATTTAGCTGTTTTTGAAGCCAAAGCATCTCTAGAAGCAGAACAATTTCTGGAAACTACAAGTGGAAGAAGAATCTGAAGAACACACACACTACTGGCAAGTGTTAAAAGCAGCATCACTAGAGCTCGAATAAATATTTTGGGAGAAACATCGTGTTCACATGAGAAAGTCCACTCATGGTTATTCAAACAGGAATCTTCACATTGTGATCGGGAACTAGATCATCATACTCATACTATTTCGAATGGAGATTGTTCGAAACCGATACACAAAAAATAACAGAAAGATGGAAATCTCTCGCGTTGGAGCCACGATCAGTATGTTTTGTGGAACGATATTCTATAAAAGGTACTGGAAAAATTTTATGTTTTATCTGCAATCGTGTAATGGAAGTACTTGCGTTACGTTACGTCATTGAATCTATAAATCAGGGGTCAGATTCATCAACATTTTGAGAATGAAAATTGGCCTATTAGTACTCAGTCATACTCAAATGAACATTCGGTGAAAGAATTTGTACATGCTGAATTCGAAATTATCAAGAAATCACAGAATGAAAGTTTTGCTGGAGAAATAGAACGAATTTCAGTTAATAAACATCTACACTTGTACGTGAATGGAAAGAAAGGGATTTGAAGATGAAATTCGGATTGCGGTACCTGTTTCAACTACAAAAAAGGCACTCTTGAGGCTTGTTCGTTGGTATTAGCTCAATCTGCTGAACTTATTTTTTTCTATTACTATCTATGTAAAGCATATCTGTCAACAACACAACGATTGACAGATATTTCATAAAAATTGTTTGAAATGTTCATTATTTCCACGTATACAAACGGAATACATTTCGATTTTTTTATGGAATATCTCTTGATCATCTTGGTGTTGACTGATGCTTTGAATTACTGAAATTTAAATTTTGTCGAAATCATGAGAGTAATCGAATTTTATCAAGTGTACCAGTTTTGTATTAAACAAGTTAAGCAATCCAAATTTCATATCCAAATCCCTTTCTTTCCATTGGCGTAGAAGTTTCAGATGTTTATTTACTGAAAAAATCAAGTTCTACGCCGATGAAATGATCATGATATGAGTTTCAATGCCCAATACAGCTTCGCCAACGTACCTACCGAATTTGAGTGAAATTTCATGAGCCGTTTCAAAGTTATGAAGCAAAAACGATTTGTAAGTTGTAACTTCAGAGCCGTCTAGCGCCCAAACTAAGCAACTTTGTTCTGAGGTAAGTTTGCTTGCATCGATTTTTTCAAGTATGGGGAGAATGTAGTGAGTTTCAGTCAAGACCTTTTAGGAACACCCTATATAATATACAGGGTGATTCAGGTTTTAAGGCACAAACTAGAATTTGAGATAGATCTCATAATTTCAACCAAAAAAGTTCATATAAGCATTAGTCCGATTTCGTACAGTGGCGGAGCTAAAGGGGGTCAAAGTTTAATTATTTTTTTCTATTAATTGAAATATCCCGCTTACTTTTTAAGATATGTATTCTGAAATTTAGTGTTTGTCAGTAGTTCCTGGGAGATCATCATTTCAAGCTATTTAAAGATTTTCAAAATCTACAGGGTAATACGTTTTTAGGGGTAGAGGCTTCTTTATCCCCCTCCAAACTTTTTCGTAGTACGCCTCTGGCATCTTTCAGTGATCAAATTATGTGGACCGTTCGATTTGGAGGTTTTTTCTGCTCTTCAATTTTCTCCTAGAAACGAGCCGTTTTTGAGATAAATAAGCATATACGTTCTAAAACACGATTCACAACCAATTTCTCAGCAGAAAGAGAATCCAGAATCTTTGAAGTTCATCTCTCTAGCATATACGTATTAATAAACAATACGGATCATAACGGGTGCCAGGATGAAGCCAAAAATATGAAACAAATGAATATCCATAAGGATTTGGTGGCATGATACGCATGCGCCATGCGCTATTATAGTAGTCATCAAAGACATGCGTTTCGGTGGACAATGACGTTTACTAGTCTTTCAATCAAAGCAGTATGTGTCTGATCGTATCTCACTTTTCCTTATGGATAGTCATTTGTCTTCAAAAATCGGCTTCATGTTTCGCTATGGAAACAGATAGAGATTATCCGTATTGATTATTAATACGTATATGCTCTCTAGAACTGAAAATTAGCTGACATAGCTGATAAAATAGTCACAATTGTGGTTACATTGTGGTTATCAATGTTAGATGAAAACACAATGTAGCTCTATCTTTGCTAGCGCCAGTTTATGGGCGACTGTTTTCTAGAAAGAAATTAATACCCATATGTTGTTATCTTTAGTAATTATTATTACAGTTTATTTTTATCTCGATGCTATCAAGTTGTCAATCTACGATTTATTGATGAATGACATGTGCTCAACTTGATGAAGCTGTCCCACCATAAACTAGTGATGGGGTACTCGAGTACTGATTCTGCTGAAAATCTGTGCTCCGAAATATAAAATCAAAAATACAGTACTGTAGTTCGGAACACGTCTTCATGATTTTCATCAGTCATCAACAGCAATTTATCAGCTGGAAAAATATGTACATTATTCTAAACGTCAATTATTTCAATAACAGACATTTTCTGATATTATATATGATATTATCAATTTATTATTGATAAGACAGGACTTAATTAAAAAACAAGGGCAGTCCTTCCCATTCTAAAATAATGACAGTTCACTGAAGCAACACTACCTTTTGATAGTCAGCAATTTCAGCAGAATGTTGAGTCGAAATATTTGGAATGAATAGTATGTCTGCTCACAAGCATACTTTCAGTGAATTTTTTGATTTCGGAATGAAAAATCAGCAGATTCAGTCCTTACAGTTGAATTCGGACTATATGTTCGAATTTTTTGCATGACATTTGTAACGAGCATAAGAATATCGGAAGCTGTAGGTTCATTACTAATCATTACAAACACAGTATTGCAACAGGCTCATGTATTACGAAAACCTAACATGGGAATCAGAGAATGGGTTCAAACAGTCAATAGCAGGTCTTCTGAAAGTGCTCCGTAGGAATATGGCTATAATATCGCTGAACT